TAAGAATCTTCTCTCCAATTCTGTGCTCTGACAGTAAAAAGGAACAAAAACAAACCAAAAAAACCCCAGCCCCCTAAAGTTATGCTTTTTGAATGTGAATTAATGTGTTCAAAATTCGTTTGATTACAGCATAAAAAAATCATAAATCTATCACAAATCTTTCATGTCACACCATCATGACACTGTCACAGAACACATGAAACGCGTGAAATGCTGGTATGAGAATCTGAATGATAAATTTCCTTCTCTTCATTGCAAAGTTACCATTGAGTTCAGACATTTGTCATTTATTGCATAAAACCAAAAATTGTCTAGCCAAAATGGCTGGTATCAGAATGAGATACTTTTAGTTGTTGTTCTATAACCTGCTCATAAACGTGTTACTGATGCAGATTTTCCCAAGGAGTATAAGGCAAGGACATGTGCTGAGAATGCCTAAGAGCTGCTTGCTCCCTGAATAGTGAAAATGGTTCATTAAAATCTGGTTAACTCCTTGGCGCCTGCCATTGCTCTGGGGAAATCAGACTTCTGGTGCCAAAAGATTAAGTGCTACATGTTGAAATGGTTTAATGTAGTTAAACTGTGATGAGAAATCTCCGAGAATGCGGTCACCTAATTGATACATTAAAAAGCAGTGCCTGCTTATAATAAGCTATCATTGCAGACTGCCTGTGGGTTTATACCTGGTTTGAAAAAAGAAAGGCTGCCCTTTGCTTAAATTGAATACTGTTGCACACTGGAACAGATGGAAATGGGGGAAAGTTTTGTCACTTTGAACCATAGCAATCTCTCTTTTTCTGATGTTGAGAGTTCCTCGCAGTGTAATATGAAAAGTGACTGTTGTCACCGGGCTAGATCCCTATTTACACAATGTTTAGTAGCACTTGACTGTAATTCACAGTGACATTTATTAGCGATAATTTTGCGCATATTGATGGCAAATGTACTAAGCAATTATCTTTGAGCAGATTGCTAGCTGTATGTTCTTGATTAGGAAGGTAATTGTGTGTGGTCTGCTGGCTAGAAGAAGGGACTGAAAGGCAGGAAGCGAGTTCCTCGCCAGCTCTCGCTGCCCGACCATGGACTTGGGCCAATTTTTCCTTTTGACTTGAGTTTTCATTTGGAGATCACTCTTGTGATCCTCTCCAAGATACTGAGGTTCACATCATGCTGTGTGGATGTATCCATCACTTGCAGATCCTAACAAAGGCTTCTCGTCTTTTTTTTTTTTTTTTTTTCCTTTTCTTTTCTTTTTTTTTTCTTTTTTTCCTAATGACTTTCTGTAATTTTTATACTGAGATTTGGAAAATCCTCTACTCAGCCCTGGTGAGGCCGCATCTGGAGTATTGTGTCCAGTTCTGAGCTGCACAGTACAAGAGAGATGTGGAGCTGCTGGAGAGAGTCCAGCGCAGGGCCACCAGTGAGGGTGCCAGAGCACTGGAACAGGCTGCCCAGAGAGGTTGTGGAGTCTCCTTCTCTGGAGATCTTCAAACCCGCTTGGACGCAGTCCTGTGCCACGTGCTCTAGGTGACCCTGCGTGTGCAGGGGGTTGGACTAGATGACCTCTAGAGGTCCCTTCCGACCTTGAGCATTCTGTGATTCTGTGAAAAGAGAAGTACCATCAAAAGAGCATAGTAAAAATGCTGCTGTGTTAGGGTTTATTTACAGTGAGCCGGGGGAAAAATGATTTTTTTTTAAATTTCTACCTTCATAATTTCTACTCTTGTGTTTCTATTACATACACGTAACTTCTACTTTCATAAAGTGCTCCTTTTCATCACTTTCTGCATCACTGGAGTGCCCTTGGTAGTCTGAGAACATATAGATTTATAAGTTTGCCACATACATCAGTACTACAGAAAGTGCTGTCTTAGAACTTTTTATTTTTTTTAAATAAGTTGTTCTTAGTTATCCTTCCTAATTTTTTTTCATTTGCTAGAGTGGAATATTATATTTACAATTCCAGAGACTACTTCTCTGCGTTTGCCTATTTGAACTATGACCATCACTTCTCCCAGCTCCTTATAGCCAGAGCGTATCTCCCAGCACTGTGTTCTTAATTTAAACTTAGCATCTTGTGTATTGAGGGTGCAGTATCAGCACATCAGTTTGCTCGTGCTGCAGTCAGTCGGAACATTGGCACCTGCTCTGTATTATTTGATATTTCGGACAGAAACATACAGTGTTTGATAGTAAGGATGTAGACATGACTGGAAGGATAAGTTATAGCCCTCCTTGCAGTTCCTACTACAACGCTGTTCATTGATATCCTCCTAGTCAGCTAATAAATAGAAGTTTACTGCTTTGGGCAGTTCTCAGGAACCATCCTGAGCACAGGAAGAAGCTTCTGCCTCTTAGCCCGTAACTGGCAGTTTGTGAATAAATTTCATGGGAGGATATTGCATAATTTTGGTTGTAGGAAAATTCTTTTACAAGCTCGCATAACTAACTGTGTTTTAAGATTCAATCAAAAATTCCTGATACTAATGAATTTGCAATTAATGCCATCTTCCATGCCATATTATCTTGGCATTTAGGTAATGCCTATATATTACTTGGAATTAAGTATTTTGTGGAACCTGCATGTTTCTTTAGGAAAGTGGGCACTTGTTCCACAAGGGAATTACTTGGTTTCTGTTGGGCTGCCTGATTTTGTAGCCTTCAGACTGTTTTTAGTCTGCTCCTGCCCCATGCTCAGTGGAAGCCTCGGAAACAGCGACAGTATTCCGAGTAAAGCAACTCGGCTCATATCAGTTCCTCGCTAAGAGGGGCCCATATCTCAATATTTTTGTTCTGTTCAGACTTCTCTTGGCTTGCTTTAGCAGATGAACTAAAGACCTTGGCATATGCAGATCTGAAGCTGGCCCTAAGTTTTGCTAGCAGATCATACATGTTTTGGTGAGGTTTCCCCTGCCTATATCATAATCACAATAACTATACTATGATTCAGGAGCATAGGAGTGGTTATAATATTCCATATTCTCAATCAGATTGTCAGCTCATTTAACTTATCCTTTGACCTATAGCATAAGATTTTTATTCATTCCGTATAAAGAATATTTTCATCAGAGTTACTAAGGACTTTCCTTGGTACATTATAGCAAGTGCAAAGGAACACCAAAGTAGAATGGGTGAGACTCGTAAGGAAAATCATCAAAAGGTCCAGTTTCTCTGAGAACAAAACTGAGTTTTTACAAAACATGCCCTATTTAGTGTTTTTTTGTTTGTTTGTTTTTTCTCTGACAGATTTTGAGAGGGATGGGAATAGAGGAGAGAATAAGCAATAATCTTCCTGTTGCAACCCTTAAATGCAGCTTTGCTTGCAGAGGTGTCACTTGTCACATAAGGGAAATTAAGGATGGCAGTTAGGTTATATACTCTTTGCTGGTATTTTAAGGCAGAGTGGAAGCTTTTGAGAAGCCTGGAAGCTGAAGATCTAACCACAAAAGCCCCAAAAGCTTCGTTTCTTGCAGTGTGCTTGTTATGTAACTAATTGAATGGATGAGACTTCAAGTACTCATCTAAGTAACACAAAATATTTCTTCACTGGTGGCCAGGTTTGCATAAATCTATGCAAGCACAGGAGCAACAGAGCAGGAGAAGCTATTGGCTTCTCCTGAATAATCTAAGCTGAGGTTATTGCTTGCTAGGCGTCAATATCTTCCTGATATTAGGTACATGGTGAGGCCGCATCTGGAGTATTGTGTCCAGTTCTGGGCTCCACAGTACAAGAGGGATGTGGAGCTGCTGGAGAGAGTCCAGCGCAGGGCTACGAGGATGATCAGGGGCCTGGAACATCTGCCCTATGAGGAGAGGCTGAGGGAGCTGGGCCTGTTCAGCTGGAGAAGAGAAGGCTGAGAGGGGACCTGAGCAGTGTCTAGAAGTACCTCAAGGGAGGCAGTGAGGAGGATGGTGCTGGCCTCTTTTCACTGGTGGCCACCAAGAGAACTAGAGGAAATGACTGGAAGCACCAAAAGTTCCACAGGAACTTAAGGAAACATTTCTTGACAGTGAGGGTGCCAGAGCACTGGAACAGGCTGCCCAGAGAGGTTGTGGAGTCTCCTTCTCTGGAGATCTTCAAACCCGCTTGGACGCAGTCCTGTGCCACGTGCTCTAGGTGTCCCTGCATGTGCAGGGGGGTTGGACTAGATGACCTCTAGAGGTCCTTTCCAACCCTAAGCATTCTGTGATTCTGTGATTCTACATCCAGCTACTACATCAGGTTCTTGGCAACGTGATAGTTCGGCACTTGGCAAGCAAGACTATTTTATGGTGTCTATGTTATATTCTGTATTATGAACAGTGGAGGAGCTAAGCTGGTTTTAGCAGAAGAGGCCTCTAATGGCACCTCTGGGTTGCTTTGGAGAGGTCATTTTACCTCTGTATTGCCTGCTAATCCAGGGTCTATAATGTGGGTAGTTTTTCAGATGTTAAAAGCCAAGCAGTATTGTGTAAGTAACAAAATTGCATAAGTAATCCACATACTTGAGGTTTCAAATGTGGAGATTGGAAAATGATGCCTTGTAACTGGATTTCTTTTTAACTGTGTGTGTCTGCAGTTACATTTACACTGTTGGAGTTTGGTTGATGTACCTATGACTTCTCTCTATGCAAGTCTGCTCTAATCTTATCTGAACAGATTCACTCTTTACTTGTTTGCCCCAAGGGTCTACATGTGTCTTTAATCCAAGTATGTGATCTATTAATGTGAATGACTATTGTATGTATTGTCTTTATCCTGCTATTGAAAAAAGACATTGTTTATGAAAACACATAGTGTTCCCTGTTTATAGCTTGCTCTCACGTTATAGATTTGGCATGTGGCCGCCTCATTGTCTTGGCAAGGCAAGAATTGAACAAGAATGCCTATGCCCCGATGGGGAAAAGGATACAGTAATTATTGCAGCTGAATGACATTGATTACAGCAATTAAGTTTTTTAAAAAATAATGGAACAAGAAAGACTAACGTCTTCCAGTCTACACCATTGTGCTAACCAATCATCTCACTTTTTCTTGCACTTTAGAATAAAAATAAAGCCTTATTTCATATTCAAATAACACTTTGCTCTCTCCGAACGAGTTGTGCGAGAGGTGGAAACAGTATTCCCTTTTTCCCTTCCCTTCTCACTATTAAGAGAAAAACATTAGATGCCTTTTGGGAACTTACAGGCATATTCCTCCATAAGCGTTTTCTAGATTCATAAAATTTTAAGGAGATTCACCTTCAAATTCCTGTACAATCCGTTATCTGGACTTCCATTATTTGCCATAGTTTCAGTCTTGGATAAAAGACTCTTAGCAGTCCTACTTTTGTGCTAACAGGACCTACGTTGTGTTTACTCATGGGAAATTCTGTATAAAGGAAACCATGTTTCCGTGATAAAAAAGTGATTTCCTGTAGAATTTGCAGTTCACTAGGTGACAATTTTTAATGTTTTTTTTATAAACTGATTGTGGAAAGAAATGATTTTGTTTTATTGTGAGTATTCCCTCTGGTGTGTTTCCTAAAATTGAGTCCTGGAATTAAGAACAAACTTGGGTTAAACATAATAACAGTGCCATGACTTGGCTGTAATTGCTGTATTTATAGTGAGACCTATTTGTCTGAAAATGCAAAATAAACAGCCGTGTGGGTAGTGATTGTGGTGCAGTGCTGTGATGCCCCATCTGAAGGGGGAAAACATGTGCCTGCTTTACATGTGCACAGCTCAGTGCTTCTGCACTGTAGAATCTTTAAAATTTTGTGTTATATGTATCTTTCTATAACTTTGCTTTGTAAACAGAAATAAATCGTGATGATTCAAGGGGTGTATCTTCTATTTTTTGGCATTACATGGCACGGGGGGTAGTTTAATGGTTTTCTCAATAAAGCTTCTGTTCCTGTTGCTTTTAAGAATTGCAACACTTAACGGAAAACGCTGCCAGTTTTAGTCATTAGAACTTCTTAATCATGTCATGGGTTTTGTCACATTATGTATGTGAGTTAGGGGTAACTTTTGGACAGTTGTTTTTGGAAAATCGTGATCTTTCGTTGAGACCGAGATGTGTGAGACCTCTTCTCTAGATAAACATACCTGCATGCAGAACATGCTGCGCAGATTGAATCACTTAAGAATAGCCTGCACTGTAGGCTGCATTCATTTAAAAGATCACAATTTAGGATATTGCTCAGTATAGGTTAGATAAATGAAACTATGTGCTTTCTGTGCTTGTCTGCTTCCTCTTAGGGCTAAAAAGAGGGTGAAGGGAAATGCATATGGAGTGCAGGGAATTTTGAGAGGAGACTTGAACTATGGACCTGTTAGGAGTCCCTAGTGATCTGTCAGCCAAGCTGTTAGTAATAACAGTGTTTAATAGGAGCTTAGCTAAGCAATAAAGCATGTGGGTAATGGGAAAGGCTTTGTGTGCTCAGTATTAACATACTTCCTCCTATGATACCAGTCCCCCATTTAGTTTATCAAATAGTTAATTTTGGATAAGAATGCCATCTTCATAAATGGATGAAATTTCCAATGAAACTTAGTGTTTGTGCATTCATAGTGTTGATTGTCTGGACCTATGTGTCTAAATGTATGCCTTTTTTTGTTAGAAAATTCAGGAAGTCTTTGGTGTGCTTCTTTTCAGGAACAGAATGTGAAGACCTCATAGAAGAATTGCTGTGTTGCCTCATCCAGCTCATTGTTGAAATTCCCCTCTTGTAAGTTGGGTTTCTTTTCAGCTTCTGCTGATAAACCAAACATTTGAGCAAATATAAAACTTAAATGATGGCGCTCTTAATGTTGTTTTTTTTTTGAATGTGAATGTTCTATATTTTTGTAAAGTACTGATGATGACAAACTGCTGACAGTACCAGCCCTGAATATTTTATTAGAATGAATAAGGGTCATCATCTCATAGTCAAATTGAGGGAGCAGGAGTTATCCCATTTGTTTTGTAGATGCCTTATTGTTTTTTTTGGGATACCTCTATCAGAACACAGAAAATTACTACCAGCTTTTACTTGGGAATGGTTATACTCTGAACTTCAGTCATGTGGCTCATTCTCATTTAATGTTTGTTTCTGAAATACCAATGAATTGATATTTGAAGAAGGAAGACATGACCAAATGGAATGTTTCTGTAGATCTCCAGGGCAAAATTGATGTGTTTGCTTTCTTTTTTGAAGGCATCTGTCTTATTTGAGATGTCTTGATTCTGCATTCTACTGGGTGTGTGCCATGAAACTTCCTTTGCTTTTCTTACTTGCAGTCCTGGGGATTAAAGGGAGACAACTTTGTTTTCTTTTTTTGAATAAAAATGTTTTTCGTACCTGTCTGTTTTTGTTTCACCATTTCTTTACAACATCAACTTTTCTAAAGATGGTGTTAGCAATATCTGTTGTTTTTAATATTAATAATTCAATATTGCATTGTAATCTGTACCTAAAATATGTATTGTTGCAGTTAAAGCATTACATCTTTGAAAGAGTTTTGCAGATTATCTGTTATAGCATAGTACATATCTCTGATTTAGTTTTTATGCTGCTGATTGCTGTTTTGGTTGGAAAGCTGACAGAGATACGATAGTTTTTGAAACATTGCTCTCATTAAATACAGTGCTGTCAGCATTACATGAGGGTTTTGGATAGTCACTGTGTAATGGCTTAGCACTATGATTAAGTGTGCCATTCTCCAAAGCTTGTCAGTACTTCCTGGAACAGATACACTTTTTGTTTGCCACAGATTAGAAGACATATGAAGGGGTGAAAGGACTGAAATATATGGGCAAGTTCATAAATCCTGCATGTGTGTTTTCTTTTTCTTTTTTTCTTTATTTTGGAAACTTTGTTGAAGTCCTAATCACTATATAGAGAGTCAAATATCCTTTATTCTGCCTTTTTGGCAGAAAAACAGCAATTATTTTGCAGCCGTAATTGTTCTTAACCTTTTTCAACATTTGAACCTGTCAGCATCTCTGTTCTGTGTGAATGTGGTTGCAGTGAATGGAAATAGTTGTTGAAAGCACTTATTATACAATATGATATAGTAATAATAATGATCCTCTCAGAGTTACGTAGCTGCTATATAATGTTTAATGTTTATCTATAGTAGAATCATTCACTCTTCTCATGGTAAATGTGGAAAGATTTTGTGAAAACGTGTTTTCTTGGCTTATTTTCCCCTAAAGTAGTATGCTATTAACTGCATTGTTAATTTGGACAAGGTTAAGTAGGGTAGTAACACTAATAAAAATGTGTAATATTGTATTGTTTAGCACTGTAATATGTTTAACAATGTAATAGTGCCTTAACAATAACTTTTTTTTCCCAGGCCATTGAAAGGAAAGTAGGGAAGGGGTAAAATACGGAAAAATTTGCTCTAATACACAATGAAACATACACAGTGAGGATTTTCATTGGTTTGATCTCTCTTGCTGCTGAAGGTTACCTTCTTAATAGTTAAAATTATAAATCAAAAGTAGCTGTATTTAAAACCAGAAGGAAAAATGGCCACAATCTACTGCTAGAGAAGGGGAATAAGCTCTGTTGTTCTTCATAGAGATGGTATGAAGCATTTTTTGCTTAGATAATAATATATGTATTTATAGATACATATAGAGAGATTGTTTTGCTGTAACTGGAGTAGATCAAAAAAAATCAAGTCTAATATGTGAGTTTTGGGAAGGAATAGGTTGTTGGAGTGGACGGAATAGTAGCCAGTGTTGCTGGACTAAGCTGTGTAGATTGGATTATCGAGCAGAGAGAAATTTGGTAATAAGATAGAAAGATGATGATATTGCTGTTCAGTCTTGAATACACATTGAAAAGATGTATGTGTAAGATGAGGGTACTGTTGGGAGAAGAGTTTAAGGGTACATCTGTGTGGTAGTATTCAGGGAAGTCCCCAGTCTTGGCCTGAGTTCCTGACTGGGCTGGGCACTGGTCTAACCAAAGTCATGCAGGATCAGCTCTTCCCTGAGCATGAGCAGAGCCTGTGCTGCTCTGAGCTTGCTTCACCCGGAGTCTTGGCAAAATGAGCTCATGTCTGCCTGCAAAATAACGTGTAGACACATTTGGAAAATGCAAGTGGGCAGTCAAGCTCGAAACTAATAACCAAGGTGTGTGTGATGGAGAAGAAGACAAATCACAAGTCTGTAACTCACCTCTCTGTCTTCTCCTGTGAGGTATAACTGAAGATCTGAAATGTATTTTGATTTTTTCCTGGAAAAGTTCCAGAGATGTGCAGCCATGCACAGGTAGAAAAAGCATCCCTGAATTACCAATCAGGAATGAAAAAATCCATTTGTCTGTGTTAGAGCTTGCATTGAGAAGGATGAAAGCACATTATGGAAGTTGTCCTCGGCATAGCTAAAGCGGGTGGTAGTGGGAACATGGAACTCAACAGCTTTGTGACCCTCTACGTGAGACTTATTAAAAAGAGCTTAGATTAATTACCCTTTTGCAAAGCAGATTCTGTGCAAAATGCTGGAGGGAAGTTTCATATATTTAATTTTGAGAAATTTAACTGCATTATTGCTTTTTAAGGATCAGAGCTGTGCAGTCCCTTGTAAGACTTGAGTTACAGTATGTTGATCTTTTGATTTATGGCTCCTTTGGGTGTGTTATGGATACTCTGCTTTTTCTTTGGTCTTGTTAATATTAGCACTCCCGGATATATGTTAATGATCAAACTACATAGTCAGCAAAAAAAAATACAACTTCAGTATTTAATCATATCTGTTTTGCATAGAAACTATCGCTAAAATTTTGTTGCAAGATTGAGCTCCTAGTTTTAAATAATAAAGGCCTCTTTCAGCAGCTTGTTGAGAACTGGTGTGCATAACTGAACATCTGGTTGTTATCAGTACTTTTTTACTTCATTTAAAAACTATAAATGCACGTGGAGGAAAAATGAATAGTACGATCCAGTTACATCATTGTTAAGTAGCACCCTGGTGCCACTTGAAGTTAGTTGATATTTCCATTACATTCTGTCATTTTCTGTAGTCAAAATAGTTCTGATTTCATTGAGTTTTCATTGAGAATACTGCAGTTACTGCAATGAAACTGCAGTTTTCATTGAGAATAAATTTGAAAATGAAAGATCAGAATCAGGTTAAAAATATTTTGACTCTTTTAAGGATGATCTGTACATTTTCTGGGAGTTGCCTCTTTTCTCCGTTACCTAAACAAGCATTAGACCAAAACAGGTTGTTATTGCCACTGAGTGCTGCAACCTTAAGATGACTCTGTGTTGAAATCAGAGGAAGTTGAAGAAAAAGTAGTGTTATTAGGAGACCTTCCTCCGCCAGCACTGGAGCAGGGCTCCCTTTCAGCTGTGCTGCACAGCCAGAAGACCTGACATGATCCATATGGGTCTGGCACTGCCAGCCCTCTGCACAGGTTTTGCAGTAGCTTTTTCAGCACACTGGTCATCCTTCTGCTGAGAATGTATTTAGCCGTATAGTGTGGATGATTTAGGAACAGACCAGGGTGTAAACATCTTGAATCCTAAAATTGTTTTAATTGCTTAGATAGTTGCTGCAGAATATTTCCAGCTGTGTAAGGTTATTGTATCTCAATCTTTAATTCTGTCTCCCAGCGGTGGGAAGGTGTAACAGGAGAGGTTGGGATGCCCTCTGCTCGCAGTCGGAATTGCTCGAGTGCCTCTTTGGGACATCACCCAAGTGTTTGGAGTCAGCTGTGGTGAGTGTAGTGTGTTACTGGCCACCACAGTGCCTACTCGCCAGCAGTGGGTGTAAAACCAGGCATGAGTCCAAGAGGAAAGATTACGTTCACTTTGAGTTGTTGTACTTGTATCCTGAGACTGATAACCAGATATTCTACTTGCTTTTCAGCTTCCAAACCTGCTCCTATTCTCTATGGTAACTCCTCTTTCACCTTCCTGGTGGGCCCTCAGGAAGCAGGGAAATGAAACCTGGTTCCTGTATGATTTGAGGCTTTTTGTATGAATCAGCCCTTTTGGCAACTCTCCGAAATTAGCAAATGAGTTGCCTTTTAACCTTTTAAAACTTAGAGTAGACAGCTCTGGCTGGGTGAAAGTTCAGGAAAATATTTCAGTAGGGAGGGGGTTTGTTCTCGTGATTTGTGTGATGGCATGAGTTGAAATTCAGAATTTTGCTTCTGACTGCTCAGTCCGTTTGCTGTGTGTGTGAAATCATATATTAGCTCTCAGCCTCCCCTTGCAAAGGTGTAGAAATAGCTGCATTTCACCGAGTAACAAAGATTTTTACAAAAGTATATGAGTTGAGGAGCAATTGGAGTTCCTAGTTGGGATTTGTTGACGTTTTGTTTAATGTAGTCATCATAGTCCTCTTCCCCCCAGCAGGGAACAAGGCTGGATGATGGGGATGGGTGCAGAAAGCAGTTCCGAGCATTACCTGGGCTTGGAGAGAGGCCACCAGCTGCAGTCTGATGACACTTAGGTAGATGGTTGAAGTTCTTGATCATCGTGGTCAAATGTTGTCCACATCCACTTCTGAGTTCTGAATGGAGGAAGAAGATGGTTTGGTTAAATTATGCTTGTTTTACACTAACACTTAGAAGCCTTCTAGTTTGGAGCTCCAGAGATAATACGAACTTTGAACAGAAAAGTGACCCTTTCTCTGTAGAGCTTATAACCAAAGTGAATCACAACTAGATAAGACTGTATGTACATTTATAGTCTCCAAAGCAGCACTTGCTGCCAGAAGAAATTTTAAGTTTGGTGTCATATGCAAGGAACTGGACCTGCTCAGTCTGGTTAGAGGAGCAGGAACTTGTCCCACCTCATATGATGTGAAATGTGAAAGCCGGGAGAAGAGCTGCTTATAAGCTGCTGACTCTGAATAAAGAAGTAGCCCAAACGCAGGAGAGAAAAGGTTGCTGTGATTTCTTAGACTTTGGTGCTTGACTGACTGTGAAGGGCACAGTCTTAAAAAGACTTAAAAAGACGAGCAAAAGAAGGATCTCTGATAGCTTGTCTACCAGATCTAGGAATATATTCTCTAATGGGAAGGATAAAGAGGAAAATTAAAAAGAAGAAAAAGAACAAAATAAACCAGAAAATGTATGGAAATCTCCTGAAATCTCTGAACTAGATAATCCAGAAAAAAAGAGCCCTCTACAGTATGGTACATTGCTCTATAAAGTTTATTTACTTGGGATGTGGAATCATCCTGAGCTTTATCTGAGGTCTCTAGGTTTTTTTTTGTAAGGTATTTGGGAAGAAAAAATGTCCAGAAACTCAAACCATCATACCCTTCTGATTTTCTGAAATAAATAGATAAAGAATTCTGACATGTAATTGATACATGAGTTCATTATTTCTAGTTTCCTCCTTATCTGCAAGCAAACAATTTTAAGAGGAAGTCAGACATCAGCATAAATTCCATGTAAAGTCTTTCCATATGAACGACAGCATTAAAAAAAATAAAATAAAAACTGAAAACAAAAGCCACTTTTTCTGTAGTCTCTCAATATAAATAAACAATATTTTCTTTGAAGTTGAAAGAAGTTCCTGGTAGTTGTTGGGACCCTTTAGAAATGCTTGGCTTAAAACTGTACATTTGACTCTTAGAGCTACCCCAGTATTAGGACTCATAACTGCATTTATATGAGAGCAGGATTAATTTAAGCAACTGCTTCTACAGGTTGAGTGGATTGGATTTGCAGTAAAATGTTATTTAACTGGATTTTGAATAGATAGAATGGGAAAGTAACTTGCTAACTGGAGTTGCATAAACTTAAAACTCTGGAATAAAAGAAATAAACTTACAAGGGTGTTTTTTCAAAAGTTACATTAATCCCATTATTTATTTCTTTATACTGAATCTTCTAAAAATGGGAAAGAATCTTGCAATGTCCCTTTAGATTTGCATTTCCACTTGTGTGGTTGGTCAGAAAAGTAGCTAAATGAATGACTGAAATGAGAAAAGACTCGGTGCAACTTGTTTCCTCTGGCAAAGTGACCCAAATGTTGCAACATGCCGTGAAGTCACGTTTTATCTCAGAGCAGGTTGAGCTGAGGGGTAGAGATACTCAGAGGCAGCCGTGGGGAAGCGTCGCAGAGCGGCGGGAACTGGGAACCGTTTCCAGCTCCGTCCGGTCCCTGGCTCGGCCGCATTTGCAGTGGAACCAGATCACAGCAGAACCTCTGGCCTGATCTAATTATCAACATTTACCCTGGCCAGTGCTCTGAGCAGTGGGCAGAAAGTCAGGTAGCTCACCAAAACCCAGGCGCATTAAAATGTTCTTCGTGATTTTCAGGAAGAATGTTATTTAAGCAGTAAGTCTTTTCCTGACATATAACTTAAAATGTTATGGAGTCAAAGGCTTAAATTATGAGAGAATAAAAACAGTGGGTTTGCATAACCTTCTCTTTCAAAAACATTTTTGTATCAGTGTGGCTCAATGGACTTGTGCACAGCCCTGCGAGCCAGGAAATTGTAAGTCCAGCTTGCTGTTGACTTAGGACAAATAATTTGCACTCTATTTCTCCAGAAATTCTGACCTCGAGCTCCCACAAAAGTGTTTTCATTAAGCTGTCTCTATGCTATAATCACTGAAACTGTTGTTCCTCGTGTTTGACACTCATGCAAGTTATTTACAGCATTTCTAGCAGCACATTTGACATGCAAACATAGCTGTGTGCTGAAAATTAAACTGATTTCTTCTAAAGAAAAAGCTTGTCCTCTTTTCGAAAGGACTACGTGAGTTCTGAGACCAAGAGCAGCAGTTTTGTTTATTTTCCTTATGTGTTTACCTTTTTTCTAGAGATACTGCACTACAGGTTGTAAGTCATTGTTTGAAAAAAGTCTCAGTTTTGTATTTACATTTGTTTCAATTGCTAAGAATGTAATTGTTAGAAAGTAGCAAGAAGGAAATTCAGTGTGACTGATGGAGGTTTTTTTTTTTTTTTTAAATACAGATATTGTAAAATCTTTGAATTTGGGAAATACAAAGAGATCTTTCAATTTCTATAAGCTCCGTGGAAAACGTCAGCGTAACTTGCTAATTGACCCCTTATACCTGTTATACACAGCATAATGTTATTAACTCCTAAAGCATACTGTGAAAACTGTAACAGCAGAGGAAACTTTAAAAATGCTTAATAACAATCTCTAATGGCCGAGGGGGTGTTTCTGAGGCACCTGAGACATCCATTTGGGGGAGGGAAAAAAGCCCATATTAACTGAAAGCAATAATCATACTGGTTCATACTGAAGGGAACTGTAGTGTTTTAAAAGTTTTTTGTGTAATTTGTAATTTTCTCACTGATTGAGAAGGCAAAAAACATTTTTTTTCTTGCCTTTTTAGAAATATGATGCGTAGTAAGATCACTTGAGGCAGAGTTAGGGAACAGAAACTGCACAGTGTCCAAAACGGCACATCACTCTCCCGTCCTGTTTGCTGTACAGCTTTTCCTAATTAACCTGTCCAGCTTAATGAGCTTTGCTAATCTTTGTGCAGCCAGTGTCTAATCATTGCCATACATTCTTTGGAATTGACAGTAGAAGTCAGCAACATCCTAAAGTTTTGTACTTTACCTTTGCCTTGCAAATACCATTTAACAGTTGGATAATTGTACGTGTGCCATGTTGGTATCCCAAGCATTTCTTATAGTTAAGAGAGGATTTGTGTGTTACCTCATTCTTAGAGATCCCAATTTGCTGCCAAATGAAGCAGCGTTTGGGAAGCTGAACCTTTTTGTGACCTGGAATGATGCTTTGGTGACGATTGTGTTTAGCAGGACAAAGAACAGCCCAGTTAATTTTCTAAGATATTTTTATTAGTATTGGAATGAAGCGTAGTCTGAAAATCGAAATCCCAATGCTCTGGGTGATATGTCACTGTTTTTACACTGTGTTGTCCTTTGGCACATCAGAAAAACGCTTACATCTAAGAAAAATAATCCATTGTCCGTATGAAGTGTTTCTGTTTTTTGAACTTGTTATTTCCGTGTTCCCGCTTGAGACTCGCTGCATAGTGTAACCACATGGGAGCCTCCCATGTGTTCCTATGGCAGAAGGGAGTTTGTAAACAAAAGTGGTGGATTAACCTTTGTAAAAATTTGCCTTTTCTTGCAGAGATATAACGTACAGCATTTCCTTGGAGGCTGTGACAACGCTGATAGTTTTCCTCTCCTGCCAATTATTTCACAAGGAAATTCTGCGAGAGAGCATCATTCATAAACATCTGATGCGTGGTCGCTGGTATGTCCTGTTCTGGGGCTGTGGCTAATCGCAAGACAAATCCTTCAGATGGCTCATTTAGACTCTTTGTCCTTAAAAATAAGACATGGTGAAATGCATTTTGATATGCAGTTTTTGTCCAAAAGAAAACAAAACATCAAAACAAATCTATCTTAAAAGTTGTTGGAAGGTTTCAGGTTTAAATCTTATAGTGCTGATTTAAGTAAAACTATATTTATTTATTTATTTATTTATTTATTGGCATAATTTCATTGACTGCTTAAAACAGTTTTCAAAGAAACAGTTGTATGTGTAGGCTCTGGGTAGAGGGGTGGAGATCTTGGGGGTAAGGAATCTGAGATAATGTGAGGAGTTCAAAGGGCATGGGTTGAAGAGAATTAGAGATCATCACCAGAGTTGGAAACCAATTGTTTCTATAAAAAGCTCTTCTATTTTAGAAATATTTTAGTCTATATTTAAATCCAATAGATTTCGTGTATGCCTTTCAGAATTATTTGAAGTCAGTTGTTCCAGAGCTCCTTGAAAATTGGCCCCCACTAAACACAGCACTGAAAATATTGTGGGAATAGAGGAATGCTATTATTGCCTGCTTTATATGACTGAAGCATCGAGATAAAAAAAAAAAAAATGAATATGGTGTTTTTTCCTTGCATAAATATTTTTCCTGTTGTGTCTTGGGTAAAAGAATACAGTGATACCACGTGTTAAAAGGTTGATTTGAAAGTGATATTGAAAACTGAAAATAAATGAAGAAGGTTTCCATGATTCTGCCCTTGAAGGTGGTCCCAATGTTCTGCTAAAGCCAGTGCAGTTTTGAATGGGCAAAATCCTGCTGTTGTTTCCCTTTCTAACCTAGAAGTGGGTAGATAACTCAGCACGAGGAGCTGAGACTATGCTTAATGTCAAGCATCAGCTTTTGTGCCTTGCCTGGACTTTGCTAATCAAACACGTGGCTCCTGGGTAGAATAACAAGTATCTGTGATCTGTTAGATGGAAAAAGTGATCAGACTTTTTAAAAATCCAGGCATAGTCTAGTTCCAGAGAACAAAAGGATGCACAGCCTTGACTTTGTAGCTCAGCCGAATTTTGCAACTTCTGAGTCAATTAAAGCTGTTTTTTTTTCCTTTTGCAGTCTCCCATACACCAGCAGACTTGTGAAAACTTTACTGTATAATTTCATTAGACAAGAAAGAAGCCCTCCTCCAGGGAGCCACGTCTTTCATCAGCAAACCGATGGAGGGGGACTGCTTTATGGCATCGCCTCTGGGGTGGCAAGTGAGTCGTATTTTCTATAAACAATTTTTCAAAAGTTATGAAGTATATGGCCCTCTGTGTGATCACTCTTATAAACACACCTGTAGCCCATTTCTTTTTCAAACAGTGATATCAGTGTGTCTGCTCTATAAAGAAAAGCTGACCTATCAGCTATAGAGACTTATCACGGTCTCTACCTGTAGATATTTTACAATATGAAGCAATTGTGTTTGCAGAGATGTCATCCCTGCAAGGGAACATGCCATAGAAGTAGCTCTGATGAACTTTTTGTTTTTTTTTCTTTTTCCGAATGTTAATACATAAAAAAAAAAAAAGTTACCTCTTTCGATAAATTCAGCACTTCAAGTTATTTAAAATGTTGAAAAAATATTCTTTGAAGTCTCTGTTGAAGAATTATAAGCATTTTCAGAGAATGTTCATATTTCATTCTTGATAGCTTTTAAGCAGATATGTGGAATTGGTCTAGATACAAAAAAAATGTATCAATCCTGAGAAGCTGACTGATTATTTTCATGACTGGTATGAGTAGCTTGTGATCTTTTGTGGTTGGACCTTTTGCTCTCAATAGTTTGGACATCTACTGAAGAATATTCGAGCTTAATATAATCTTTTTGTAAGAAAAAGGTTTCTCATGTTTGTTATAGAGCACATTGTTTTAGTTGTTTATTAATATATGTGTGTGTGTATATAATCTTGAGAAAAATAATGATACATGTTACTTTTTCCTGCTAAACTGAATAACACCTTGTGAGCTGGTTACTTTAGGAACATTTGCTATCTATTCTGGTCTCTGATGAAATCCCTTCACTGGCTGCATCCTGGGGGAATATTAAAGTTCAGGCCCTGAGTTTGCCAGGAACTATTTCACAGCCTGTGACGATGCATCTGGATCTCCTCATGGAGGCAGTAAAAGAGCACAGCTCTAACTTGGTGCGTTTCCCTAAACACTTTGCAGCTTCTGTGCAAGACGAAGCTGCACAGAGCTCCCGTCTGCTTTCCAGTTTGCCTTCTTGGGGCGTAGGACAAGACTGTGTTTGGGCTGTGCCCATGGCGTGTCACAGAAACAGCTGTTTGCTTTGCAGTTTGATTAATTTCTCTTCTCTTTCTAAATAAATTGCTCACTGCTGCCATTTTATTCTGAGAATCCCAACAGGTATGTTCTCTTCTTCCTTTTCACTTGCCAGGGAAATTTGCTTTTCAGTTGATTTTCCAAAGCAGTTTTCAATATGTGGTTTGTACTTTTGCTTATGACTGGAGAGTAGTTTTCACTGCATATTCTATATTTACCTCATCTTTTTATTCAGCTTAGTTCTAATCTCTCTAGTCATGCTCAAGTATATTTTTGTTAGTGACGCCATGCACAAAATACCTTTTATTTATTTATTCTTTCCTTGTGGGCTCACCTGGAGCAGGTCGTATTCAGTAATACTCCTTTTAACCCTTTGTATTTCCAGACCCTTCATCCTGAGGTTTGTGTAGGAGGTTACTCACTGCCTACCCCTTACTCTGTCCAAGAGAGAGCCTTGCTGTGGAGCAGTCCCTGGCCTGCAGAATTAGGCCACTGCCACTCCAAGCTTTGAGTCCTCTTTTTCTGTCTTCCACAACAGGCAACATGAGCTGGCTTCACAGGCACTATTAGGTCAATAAAAGCTAATACAGGTCATGTTTTCCTAGATTCCCCATCGAAGGCTGGGTGAAGCTGTTGTGAAATCATATTCCTAATCATATGAGTGATATCATATCTCTGCCTAACCTTTTCCTTGCTACTTGTGTATGAAATTTGCATTTCTTACTGCAGACTCTTAAAGGCTTCTGCCTACGTCTGTTCTAGTCTCTTCCTACACT